GCAGGGCTCGAAATTGCGACTCACTGGTCACCAATGCGACCAAAAATTGAGCACTGGCGACTCGCGTTTTGTCCGATAACTAAAGAAAACCACGACACCACTTTTGTTTTTAAATCTTTATATTGGGAAATCAATCGGATATGGTAGCTGGTATACAACTCACCTTTCCGTCCCTAGTAAAATAATGTCTGAATATTACAAGATAATCGAAAAACTTGAACGTATTTCGACACGTCGACACTGCGTTCACGGCGCGTCATATTGTTTCAGCGGCTTCTTCCAAAACTGGGATCGCAGGCGCACTTCAACACCATGTGCTTTTCATTTGCCGTGAAAATGGCGGCAGATACCAGTCAGTTGAAGGAATTACGTGAGTTTTTACGTGGAGAATGAAGATTCAGCCAAAATGTTAATCCAAACTTTGAATCCTTCATCAGTTGTTGAATAAAATACGAAAATAAGCAAGGACCCGTGTTTGTCTCATAATGAAAACCACGGACTTAAAACGTTTTATTCTTCGCTTCATTTAAAATGACAACCATCACCTTCGGACCAGAGACATATCACCTGAGAACAACGGTAGCTTTATAACTAAGTGTTACTCGTGTTGTTTCTACTTGTTTTCGCTCTTCAATTGTGACTTTTCTTGCATGCAAAGTAAACTATAAAATCGTGTTCTTGTGTGAGTTATATATAAGATAAGTTGGCGACCAAAATTTACGATCTGGCGACCAAAATTTTTCCATTACTCGCCTGCTGGCTCCCAAACGAAAAAGTTAATTTCGAGCCCTGCCATGTAACCTGGCCGTATCATGTGTCTCCATCCACAAACCTCTGACATTAACAAGAAGGCAGTAGCTATACAGGACCAAAGTTTCTAAATGTAATAAGCAGACTGTTGCAGAACTTGGTAATCTTAAAAAAGCAGTCATGACAGAATGGATGCCAGAATTTAAGATGTGTGATGCAATAGCTTAAACTGCAGTCAGTGTAAAATGCAGACTGTGGACATCAGACTGCAGAATGCAGACTGTAGACCAAGGCTAAAATGCAGACCAAGGGTAAAATGTAGACTTCGGACCAGGGGTAAAATGATGACTGCAGACTAAATGTACTGATTTTTTAAGTACAAGTATATATCATGTTATTTCCATTGTTGAGTGCGAACCCTAAATAGGGTTATTCAGGCTAATCGCACTGACAGTAGCATGAATATCACTCTAGTTAAACTGAATATCCCCACAGGTAGCCGGTATATCACTCAAGGTAGCCCAAATAATAGTAATAGTAATAGTAATAATTTATTTAAAGTCAAAAACATGGGAAGTGTTTGCACAATCATCCGAGCCAGAGCTCGTGTTAAAAACGCTTGACAACAGTTAAATAGGATCTAAGAACTAATTACAAAAATGAGGTATTAAAATGCTAGTAAACACGTTAAATACTAGTCCTTAAAGGAGATTTACAAGCAGGAGTTACAAGTACACCCTTTAACTTCCGTAATATATCACTACGGCATTTACCAAAACGAGCAACTATCTCACATTGTCTAACATACATGTAGTTCAGCAAACTGTTCCAACAGTGTGAACAATATAAGAAAATGAATTATGTACTACATAACAACTATTACACGAGTAATGCCCCGGTTAGCCTGTTTAGGGTTACATGTAGCTCCCAATGATGGAAATGTTAACAAGACTCAGTTAAAAAGTCAGTCGTCTGCAGTCTACATTTTACCCTCATTCTGCATTTTACCCCCACTCCACAGTCTGCAGTCTACAGTCTGCACTTTACACTGACAGTTAAAACTGCCAATTTTGATATCAGCGCCTAAATATACTTAATTCTGATAGCAGTGTGAACATGTATTAATGTAGACAGTCAAAGCTCTAATCTCCGTGAGACTAATCTCGAATGTACAGGTGCTGCTGTTGTATGACTAGCGTTAGACATAACCACACGTTAACGTTTGAACTGTCAATCAAACCTCCCTTAAGCGACCAGATAGAGTGCAAATAGCAATTTGATCTTCAGACTTTACCTTTCTCGTCGTCTACCAAGAGAACCATCCCTCTAGCTGGTATATTTCTTCTCCAAAACTCCTGGAACACCTTACAAGCTATAAACGTCTTGGACTCCTTCCTTGCAACGCATATAACACTGGCGCCATCATTTGCGAGTTTATGGACCTCGACTCCGTCTCGGTCCATAAACACGCAAAAAAAGAACTTGGCCAATATCCGGCAATCTTGACCTCACACTTGGTCAATAACCCATACTTGTACCTGGGCGCGGATAAGAGTCTTGAACAAGCCTTGTACTGAAAATGCCATTTACTTCAATGACCTAATCATAGTTACAGACCTACAATACGGAAGAACAAAAAATGTGCGTCACCTATTTGCGAGTGCGGTCTTGACTCTGAGTCGGTGAAACACTGTTTTTTGTTTTGTACAATTAAGATATGCCACTCAACGTTATGTCCTCCTTACCTCTGCTGCGAATAATCTCCGTGAAACATGGTCATGCTAAGAAGCTAAATTTGTTACTGTACGTGCCCAGTCTGTAAATTAGGATATCGACTGTGCTTTTTTCGAGAAGTTCAAAGTTTTATAAGTCATAAATTTGTTTTCGTTGGCCACTGTTGACTTTAAATTAATATGATTTTTCTAGATATGTAAGCTTAACTCGTTTTTAGTGCAATTTCTATGTGTTGTTTGTGTGTGAGCCTGAATAAATGAAGTAAAAATTGTAATATTGTAATCCCCCTTGACAAGCCTCGGTGTTTTTGGTGAGAAAAATAACAATGATAATAAAATGAAGCCATACGCACCAAGAAATGACAACATTTATTAGCATAGGTAAGTGTTTCACCGTATGAATGATATGTTCATGAGAACAGTGACATTAATTGCCCTTGATGGTGTCCACCTTTTACATGAACGTGTCACGTGACCTTCTCAATCATAAAAACTTGTAAGGAAAACAACCTGCTGCTTTTATAAGACTGTTGTACAGCTTACCTTGATGCTGTAATGGTGGTAATGCCGTGAGCTGACCAGCTGGCCTGGGTTTGCCGAGTACTTGTCTTCGTTTAACAACTCACATCGGTATTTTCCGTCTGAACCAGGAGAAGAGGCCACATTAAACGAAGAACATGGCGGAGTGTTGACACAGCTCAGAGCACATTCTCTGTAATTTTTCACAACACTCGATGAACCAACTGATACTTGAAGACGATGGAACTTGTCCACTGCAAAATTGCCGTAAGACACTCGATTTCTCTGCACATGAACGCCTCGCTTTAATCCACGGCTTCTGTCAACGTAGTTGTGTGCCGCAATTGGCGGGAAAACAAGAGAGAGAAGTAAAAAGAGGAGCTGTGAATTGAATATTCTCCAGGCATGGGAAAGCAGTTTTGTCGTTCTAACGTTACATTCCTTGTCTTAGGGAGGACATCTGCATGTCACTTATGGCAGCTGCTGAAAACAACTGCAACTGATCAATTGTTGAAACACCCGAAGATATAAAATAGCGCTCTTTTTAATGAAAGAATAACAATTAACACATTCGGCAAGTGAACTTCGGCGAGTGTCACCTGACTAAGTATGATTAATTATTAATACCGTGAGGAATGGCAAGCCGTGAAATAGCTGAAAAACCTTTATCTTAAGTATTAAGTACCACTGATAACTTAAATTATCTTAAACGCGTTTAATTCTAAAGGAGCACTAATTTGGCGCAGTCTTAAAGACTTCAATTGTATTTTGCAATTTGTTTACGGCTGCAACCGTAACTTGCTTCACAACTTAGATTCAAATGGTTGAAAAGGAGAACATAGAGCAGGCCAATTCTTTAATTTCTGCACTTGCAGTGGATTCAACAGTGAATTTAAAATACAAGGGATGTGTACGGAAAAAGACCTCGATTAGAACTTAGACTAAGTGGGATAGGTGGAACTGTCCGCACAGAGAGAGCCAGAATCAAGCCAAAATCAAGCTTCACTTGTTCCAAAGAATTACTGTTAATTAACCTAACAAAATTAATCCTGCATTGTCTGTTTTACCCACAGAAAACGGTGCTTGGAACTTTCGAATTTAAGGGCAAACACCCCTGAACGCTCAGAATAGAAAGACAGGGCAGTATACGCTCTGGAAAGCACCACTT